CTCTCACCAGGCTATTGGCTTTGACTTTGACTATGATGACTTCCATGGGTAATTGTCTTTACATATTTCAGATTTGTTCTATTTTCCATTATTTTATTTTAATAGTTACAACTTGCAATCATGTGATGTGATATATATAACAACGAGCATCTAAGACTACTTTGTATTGAGCAGCTTTGTTCATGGGAGATTGCCATATGATTTACTCAACCCTGATCCTGTTCTGAGGGGAATTTTGCTAAACTTGCCTATTCGAAAAATTGTGAGTTTCTTAGTTCTTAAATATTAATTATTTAATGTACAAACTTGTACCATATTCATAGCTTTCTCTTCAGCATAATTTGTGGATCATATATGTTTTTTTTTTTGCAGGTTTTTACAAACTCAGACAAGGCCCATGCAAGTAGAGTGCTCCACAGGCTTGGATTGGAGGATTGCTTTGAAACGATTATAAGCTTTGAGACCCTGAATTCCTCTAATAAATTGAAAACTCCAGACAATGAAGGTGGCAGTGAATATAAACCATGTTCCACGGAAATTTTTGACTTTTATGAGTACATTTGCAGGCCTGATTCTGATGCAGTGCTTCCAAGAACCCCGGTTGTGTGTAAACCCTTTGAAGATGCATTTGAAAAGGTTTTCAATATGGCAGATATTGACCCTCAAAGAACTGTGAGATCACCAATCCTTCTTTGGCAACTATGATTTTCCCTTCTGTCTCAAATTCTAATTTAACCACTGTCATGATGACCTTGCAGTTTGTGTCTTTTGTGACAATGAATACTGATAGTCATTTTCTTCTGATTATGTGCATTTTTGTGACATTATATTATTTATTTGTTTTGCTTTTCCAGTTATTCTTTGATGACAGTCTCCGCAATTTACTAACCGGCAAATCCTTGGGCCTCCACACAGTCTTGGTAAGTAACAAAATGCTAGTCAGAAGAACTTATTTTTGACTTTTTTTCCCCTGGTGGTAATGATGTCAAACCACGTATAGTAACCTCAAAATCATCATGAATGACACAATGAGCATAAAAGGAAGCATACCCAGTTATTGTTAATTAAAATAATGTACGTTTCAAATTATACCTTTGTGGAAACTTGACAATCCTATGCATGCACATGTTCTTATTATTAAATTATGGATGTATTAGTACGAAATTATAATTTGAAACCCCCTTAACATTGGATCAAAATGCATCACATCTCAGTTAAAATAATTTATGATGAAATTTGAATTTAAATGTGAAATCCAATGTGACACGCATGCAGGTGGGTACATCCGTTCGAACTACGGGAGTGGATCATGCCTTAGACAGCATCCATAATATGAAGGTGGCATTTCCAGAACTGTGGGAATCCGACGAGAAGCCTGAAAGTATCGAGTGCTCTAGAAAGGTTTCCATTGAAACATCAGTGATAGCTTAATAAGTCCGAGTTCCGAGAACTTTTGGTGTCTAGTACTGTATTGGAATACGATGTTGATTAATGTTGTTGGAAGAATTTCATATATTTATATAAATAAGTTTTTATTCACCATTTCGGCATTTCCCCTCTCCTATTGGAAATGCATAAACATTCAACTCAAGTAAGAGGCACAGACAGTACGTTTTGAAAACAGACAATGAAATTTTTTTGAGTAGCATGCCTAAAGAACCCTGCGTGCAACTTATAAGCAAAAAATCGGCAAATTTCACTCAAATGTGTGATTATTATTGATATAATGATAACTTGGGGCGTGGTTGTTTAAACTTTTTCTAAAATACTTGAAAGGAAAAAGTTAGGTAGAAAGCTTTAGAAGAAGGCTCAGCGGGTGAAATTCTATAATTCTTTCTGCCCGTCTGTTTCTTTGGGTTTTAACAGAATGGGATCCGATGTTTGCCTTACGTTATGAAGGTAAGACACTGCTCAGTGCTTACCCTCAAAATTTTCTTAATTTATCGTTAGTATCTAACTGTTTGTTATGAATAGAATGCGTGATACATTATCCCACCATGACTGTTTTATACAAATTCCATTCAACTGCTGAAAGCCTGAAACAAAAGGCTGGACAGAATAGACGCATTGCATAATGGATGAAAAGTGAAAACTATGATATTGCTGCAAAGTTGACACTGAAACAAAGGCAAATAAATCAAGCAAGACTTCAATAGTCCTCTTGAAAACTTTACATGATCGTGTAATTGCAATCTTCCTGGAATAAGGTATTCTATGGATTGTCCGATGTGATAACTTTCTGTTTCATGAGGTAAACATCCCACGACTATATATGACATAAAAAACAATGATATGCCAAAGTGGATATGGATTAAGCTCTAACCAATGTTGGCTCAACTAATGTTAACGTAAACCGAAAAGACCACAATAAGAAAAATAGCCCAACAAGGATCAACTTTTTAATGAATACTTCTTTCCTGTGAAAGCCTTGAATGTTGGTTCTTCTTCCTTCTGGGATTTCTCTTGATTGGTGTTTGTCTGAGAAACCTAAAAACAGAGAAAAATTGGTTAGGGGGCTTACAAAAGACTAATGCGACTTAAAATAGAGTTAATGAATCATATATTTAGTCATTTCTGTGTGTTCTCCGGAAGATTACTACTGCTAAGAACTACCTTGGGTGTTGTTTGAGTGCCAGATGTAGTTGCATTTGACCCAAACACAAGCTTTCCATGAGGTCTATGAGAAGCAGTATTTGATGACTTAGAATCAGAACCTTTGATTTCTTTGTCAGTTTGTTTTTGCTTTAGCTCTGGAGAAGAAATTTGTTCAACTGGTTGTGTTGAGGGTTTCCCATCTAAACGTCTTCCAGAACCAGTGAATGGACTGAACCGTGCAATCTTTGCTGGTGGCTCATCTTCAACTGAAAAGCCAAAAAGAATATAGTCATAATCTGCAAATGAATTATTCATTAAATAAGACTGCGGAAATTCATAAAAGCATCTTTCAACATATGATAAAAGAATGACAACCTAATGGCTGTTTCCTGTCAGATAGAATAGATTTTGCTTGTTTCTCAGGTTCTTTATAATCAAGAGGTGGAGCAAAATCAACTTCACAGTCTGTTTCAATTATACTGACTGCAGGAGAGGGTTTGGTTTCAACTATGTCAATGTAATACTTCTTGTTGTTATAGGCAACCATTATAGTGTCACCAGTTGTTAAACATGAGTAGGTCCTAAGTGAAGTCTCTAAGCTGCAAATAATCAAGAGAAAGAAAATATCAATTAACACACTGCGAAAGCTATAACTAAATGTTGTAAAAGAATACTAACATGGCTTTTGGATTCGAGATATCCAAAAAATCCTTTGTGTGAGGCTGCAGCTTCACATATGTTCCTTTTGCAAGATTGGTGTTTTTCACATTTACAATGTCTCCCTCTTGTAGGAGCATATTTTCCATCATCTGACAATAAAAATAGAAGACATCATAATCATAAACTGTAAATAATGGAAGAAAAATTCATTAAGCAGAAGAAAATCAGAAAATAACAGAAACAAAGAAGAGTAAATCACAAACCCAGTATGGTATGTATATGATCCCTTCATCAGATACGAATTCTAGCACCCCACAGTGGGTAACTTTTCCGGCAGAAGGATTTTTAAGTTGAAATAACATGGGATACTCTATGTGCAAAGACGCTGAAAAACATAACCAGTAAAAATCTCGACATATGTTTAGATGAATAAGCCTAGTGATTTAGCACGAGGGGAAAGACTGAATCAAATTGTTGAAACTACACCAAAAATGACTTACCAAGGCGATCCAGGGCTGAGGGAGGCATGATAACTGAAGTCAACAAGAAATGTCATAAGAAATATTCTATATGCACAAACAGATTACCAAAGTTTCATACATATTTTGAATCAAAGAAGTAAAATGTAAGCTGATGGTACATACTCTTATCACCCTTTTCCAGATCTGACTGCATAGAATCAAGAGAACGTGGAATTAATTTAAGATTTCGTACCACATGCTGATGCAAACATTTTTTTTTTTTTTTTTTTTAAAGAGTGCTCTGTCCAAATTTTATGCAAACAAAGGATGCTCCAATGTCACTCATAAAGGAGTATAGCGAGCCATGTATAGCCAGTGGCCACAGATCACCCCTTGAGCAAGGAATGCTCAACAGAAGCACGACTATAAGACCCAAACTCCCAAAGCATATGTTCACCTTTGTGAATAGAAAAGTTTGATGATACGTTTGGATGAGATGCGAGAAAATAGTAAGGGTAATTAGTATAAGTTTTATGATACCTTTTCGATGAAGGAGACAGGGTAACAACGATACATCTGTTCAAAGGTTGCATATTGATCATCCCTGTCATACGCCTGCAATTTTTTTTAAAGAAAAAACACAAAAGTTAACCTACAAACTTAGAGCAATAAAATTATGACGACTCATGTGATCAAAAGAAAAAATTGTCAACACTTAGGCAATTAGGTTCCTAGGCATGTTGTGGAACACTATATCATGCTAATAAGTGACACCGGTTAAGTTCAAATTACAAGAATCATGTCCCAATCCATTCAAATTTACAATTTTTGTTGCTATTATTATCATAGTTTGCAGAATAACAACAGAAAAAATTGAAAAGTAACAGGTCAGCGTACCATTGATAACCGCGGACTAGAATATGACTAGAAAGTCTGCGTGTACCTGAAACAAAAAATTAAATTAAATAAGCAAACAATATATGTTTGAAACACAAAACAAATGATAATGATCACGATCCAGCCACATGATATATGTGATCATACGATAAATTTTGTGGAATGTTACGACAACCTTGAAACGAATGATGAAAAAGAATAAGAAAAGCTGCGTTGGAAACTCCGAGAGTCACCACACCGCTTACATGCTTCGGAAGAACACGGTTATAGCTTTTATAGGTTAGGACTCTGATTGTTTTGATGTTTTTCTGTATGCAATCTTTCTCTTTCTCGAGTTGTTTTGGGCTGGACCAAACCAATGCTGTTATTGGGCCGGCCCGTTTATCAGAAGCGTGTCCATGGCCCGATATTTCATTTTTATCTTTTGAAGGACATGTTCGTCATTTCGATAGATTTTTATTTGTTTATAGTTGAGACAAAACAAAACAAAACAACGATAATCAAATAAAACCACCTTAACAAATCGGAGGACCTAGGTTAAGGTTGCGGTGCTGGTGGTAGAGTTTAAATTCGAAAGAGGAAGTTTGGAAGGTGTAATGGCGAGGCGAGAACTTTCAAGCACGTTGAAGAACTTGAAGGTAAATATTATCAAGGGAGCGCTAGCGCTCCTCTTTTTCAATTTTCGTCGTTTCTGAGATTTGACCTAGAATTGTTTAATTCGAAATTAGAGTTGAAAATTAAGGGATAATGATGTTTTTTCTCGTTCTGTTTCGATGTTGGGCAGTTCATGCAAAGAGCGTCTCTGAGGGAGGAGAAAACCAAGAAAGAAGAAGAGGTTAAACCTGATGTCAGTTTTGGCGCATCCACAGCGGTTGCTAGAAAGTGGTATTTTTCTCCACTAAATTCAAATAAATTCTACTGATATTAGTTTTTCACCACACATTGTGGCTGCTAGCTTAATTGTTACTTGCCCTTGTTTGTTTTGGCTGATACATTTTAGAAGTGGAATTAAAATTATGGTGTTGTGATGTTTAGGTATTTGTATCTGCGTCAATAACTATGTACGGAGTGGTTCTCAATTTAAAAGTTGGGCTTTTTAGTTAAACAGTTAATTGTTTTGACAGTTGAGATTCCTCATATCATTCATTGTGATCCTGTATTACTTATGGGCTAGCAACTCAAAGTTGAGACTTCGGAAATTTTCACTATTTTATTATTGTGTTATGGGCTATGGAATGAGATTCTCTTGATTGCCGCTAATTGAAAGAGTGGTCATCTTGGAGTAATGAGTGAGGCCTTAAAAACAGTTCTTATTTTTAAATTGTAAACTGGTGTGCAATAATTACTAATTACTTGTGGAATATCTGTATATGAAGCCCGGATACTCCAAAAATAATAAAGTATCAGTTTTGTACCCAAATCTGATAACGTTATGCTAATGCTAATGATATGGCTAGATACGCATTCAAGGAATATCCTCCAATTTGGTACTTTTCTTTTTAAATTTTGTTGACTGATACATTTGAATGCCATTCCCCATGCTTTGAACTGGACTAAAATTACGTATGGCTCCAATAAGACCCTAATCTCTTCCTCTATATCCTTGAAGCTGTGCTAAATATATAGATTCAAGACTTATCTTGAATATGACGACTAGTGATGTTTATTTATTCATTTATTTTTTTGACATTCGATCATTGGTTTGGGAAAATATGGATGTGTGAAAGCTATGTAACTGCGTTCTTTTGTTATAAGTGTTTTTTTTTAAAGTGTGACCACCATCCACTGATATAGTCATGTATTAATAACTAATAAGAATGATCAAGTCTCACTATAAGTATTGTGCATTTTTGTAACACGCACACACAGCCAATTTCGTTAATCTGTCTGTAAGCTGTTATTGTATCATGTATTTAGAAAAAAAATTCTGTATCCCTGTATCTATGTCTAATAATGTCCATGGTATGTATGTGGGCATCTTGTGTTGCTTCACATATACCCCTTAAAATCTTGCCAAATCTTTGTTTTTCACCATCCACTATCATACCCATGTTGTATCACCAGCAAACATAAAACAATGTGTCTCACAAAAAGTTTCCTTTCGACTTTGGTATATAATTTTTTCTATCTTTTTGTTTTTGTTAAACTTGACTGGCTTTCTACATATATGTAGTGTGGTCATAATGGAAGGTGATCCCCATCCTGGAGCATTTAAAGGTCGAATGTCATTTCAAAGTTTTAATCCTTCTGTTGATGTGAGTTTGAAGATTGAGACCTCTTTCTTTATTCACATAGCTAATCTAGATCTTGTGTTCTCTCTTTTGATTCTTTTTTAATGCCTAAGCCTTGCCTTTTTTAGAAATTAAACGAGGAAGAAGCAAGACTACGTCAACCAGCAGCTGAACCTACCATATCTAGAAATCAAAATACAAATGTCTCTCTCAGGTGATTTTCTTTGCATAAACTTCCTGTAGATATTTGGTTTTGATTTTTTCCCCCATCAAGGGTCCAAAGGTTCTGTTTATGGTTTGAGTACCTAATGTACCTCATGGCCTGGTCTTTTTTAACGGACAAAGATTGAAAAAATTTCCTACTCCATGATTTTAATTATGATTATGTTTGCATTGTTTCAGAGGAAATAGCTCTTCAGTAGAAGGTTCAGGATGTGCAGAAGCAGACAAAAAGAGTTTGGATGTCAATGGCAATGTTAAAAGGAAACAATCTGAAGTAACTTGTGAAGCACAATATCCTAACAAATCACCAAAAAATGATCACGATGATAAAAAATCATTGCCAAGCAATAGTTTGGGCTCTTTCAAGAAACCTTCTGGAGATAAGCTAGATTGGAGTGTTCTTAGACCATCTAGTGTCAAACAAAGTAGATGATTTTATTGATTATTTAATAGCAGACAAATTATGCTAGGTTTGGTTCTGTTTCAGGCCTTGGGCATTTATATAGGTAGTCGTGGTTCTGTTGGGCTGTTCTTCCGTTGGTATAAAGACCTTCACAATTTCTTGTTAAGATTCAGGAGTAACCAGATTTAGTTTTCAAACTTTTAGATTAAAGGGCTAAAACAAAAGCCTCGCGAGTGTTTTTTTGTATCATTATATATTGTATTTTATGAAACTGTTCGTCTATTGGAGATTTGCTTTTAGCAGTTATATATATTATGATATCAAATTGTAACGTGGTTACAATTGAAATATTAATTCATTTCCGTAAGGATTTGAGCTTCTCCGACCTTTTTTCTTTGGTAATTTGTTTTTTCTGAGAAAGGATTCATCAGCCTCTCCTCCCTTGATATGAAATTGTGTTATGTACATCAATGGAGGTGATTTGACTTGGCTTCCAAATAATATTCTGACTTCGGACCTTTGAATCCTCGTGTAGAAAAACGGGGACCAGTCAAACTGAAGTTGCAAATCATACTGCAATCAAAGTTAATGAAGGCTTTTTGAAATGATTGGAGTCATTGATTGATAAATTAACTTGGAAATCTCTGAGAGGCAAATACAGTATATAGTGCAGAATTGAGGACTAGATCGTAAAGGCTGCTTGTTTTTCTCACATAAGACAGTCAAAACGTGGCACATTATTAAAGATGTCCATATCTATTCCTTATATGAGAGTATTGTCTGCTACTTTTACTCAGATGTAGCTGCTGTTTTTCTGTTTGATTTGTTCATATGATTTTTACTAGATTTGGTCTCCATTGTTGTATCCTTTTTCTTATTTTTGTTTCTGCCTTTACTTACGATCAATAGTTAATTTGTGCTTCATCAAAAATGGAAATGTGTCATGTCAAACCAGCTAGAAAGTGAATTGATCAATATCTAAAATGAAAACACAAACGGAGAAAGAGAAATAGCAAAGAGTAGTTTATTGCATTTTTATAAAACAGACCTATAAGTAGATTACTAGTTACAAGATACATTCTTGACATTGCTTAAGCAGGAGTCCAAGCAGAAATGGCATTCAGAATACGCCCTTTCCACCCCTGCAAAACCCACTTGCCATCCTCTGCCACTACAAAATCTTTGTGATATTCCTTCTTCACTATTTCTTTGGCATCCTTCACCAACTGAGGATCGAAACGGACTTGCTTCAACCCAGCTCTCAGGTTCCTGACCTGCCATTGCTTGTAGGTCTCTGGCCTCTCAACCCTCTCAGCCCCCTCACACGCTATAACATTGATGGCATCAGTTCCAAACATCCCTTTCTCAAGCATCACTCTTTGCGGGTCTTCACGAAGCACATTAACCTCAAACATATCAAACAGTGATGAGAAGTGGTAGAGTGCCTCTCTGAACCGAGTCAGGAAAAAGGGTGCACTATAAGTGCCATTGACCACCCCATGGACGAAGATGTTTGGATTGATCTTCCTGATCAACTTCAACACAGCATCTCTTGGACAGTTCACTGCCACAGTTTCATCTGGCAGGTTCTTAAGCCTGTACAAACAGCTAACAACAGTTACTTCGTTCCTGTCTATCTTGAGATCCTCAAGTGTTATAGTTTCCCATTTCTGTGCAAGGCAATTGTATTCAAAAGGAACCTTCCACTTCTTGCAGTAGTTTTCCAGTCGCCTTCCGGTCTCCTCAACCCTTTCTGCAGGCCGAAAACCCGGTTGTGGAAGTTCAATTCCTGTTATACGAAGTTTTGGAGGACCTCCTTGCCTTTCTGACAGCAATTTGACAAGGCAGGGCCACTGAAAACCATAGCAAACGCCAAAGTCAATGACATGAACGCTGCTCTCATTTTTCACAAGACTAAAGATTGTCTTGGTTGTCAATAAATTTGACAACATCTGCAAAGGAGAGGATGTAACGAATAGTTTGTAAGCTTTCAGCATATCTGCAGAAGTTGCCACTTCTAGGGGCATGTATGATGGGGTCCCAGCAGCCAACCTTATCTCAAGGCCATTGGCAAAGTAATGAGCTAAACGCTGGAGTCCATCCCCATGAGGTGAAGAGTGTTGCCTTATCTGGCTGAGTAATTCATTTGCATTCCTTTGGTCAAAGCTTGCCACTGCCTGTGCACATTGAGTTAGAAGGGTCCATAAATCTACAGCTGCACCTGCTTTGGTTGACCCTTTCTTTGAACGTGAACGTGTTGCCTTTCCATTGGACCCTCCTAAATCAACAACACTCTGTGATGGTTCAATAGTAGCACAAAGTTTGGATTGACTTCTTCCACATTGATAACTCAGAACCTCATCTAAGATCTCTGGTGCCTCTGACTCGTCAGAAAAGACAGCTGAAACCTTGTTACCTCTTCTTCCTTCTTGTTCATGAGAAGCATCATCATCATCATCGCCCATCTGATGGCTTCTCTTTTCTCTTGGTGCTGAATCTGAAGCAGATTGAAAGTAGTCTTCCACCATCAGTGGCTTGGTCTGAGACTGGAAGAGATTCCAGGTTCCATCATGAAAATAACCAACAGCTTGTGACCCCCCAAATTGATCATGAGGGGTTTGTAGTTGTAGAAAAGAAGAGTCAAATTCACCAACAGTGTTAACCAAGTCAGACTCATATGAGTTATCAGTGGTGCAGCTGCTGTTGCTCTCAAAACTAGCAGTGCGACCATAATTTTCATCAGAGTCTGTGATGTCAACGCTTTCATAACAAGAAGGGTTTTGACGTTGTGATGAAGGGTAGCTATGGCCAAGGGCATCGTAGAAGGACTTTTCAGCAGCCTGGAGTCTCAAACACTCCTGCAACATGCAGGGTTTCCGCTCCAAATCATCTTCCTCATCCATGAGGATGTCGCTTATGTATCTGAGGATGGGGTTGGCATACTTGGTTACCTCCGTGGATTCTCCAATTGAACTTGTGCCAGAAGAAGGGGACGATGAATCATCAAACTCAAACCCCTTCGTTACTTGGTTCTGATTTGAAATTACCGATATAGGACCACCATAATTTTGCACAAGAGGATTCGAAGAAAACATGTTGGACTCTACCAAGAAATTAGAAGACATGTATCTGAAGAAGTGAAGATTGTTTCTAAAAAGGAGTAGGAAAGTTTGATCGGAGCGAAAGAAAGAACAAGAAACAGATGAGAAAGGGAAAAGAATAGCCCAAGGCAAGATTGAGAAATAGAAATCTAAATAGGTGCCTCTAGACTAGACTCTAGTGATGAAAATCATAGAAAATATACATGATAAGAAAGGAATGAATGAGAGTATAGAGCGTGAGGAAAGGAGAAACCAAGTACTACCTCGTAAACTCAGACAATCTACAGCACAAGTTTAACCGACAGTGGCTGATGCCATTGTTATATACAAGTTGGAATGATCCATTATATGTTTGAGGAGCAAAGGAAGGTTCTAGGAAGGACAACCAAGTCCATTAGTCAAAGCCGCCGAGCCCTTTTTCTTTTTCCTTTTGCTTTGCTACTATTTTTCATGTTGACTAGTACTACATTTTTCATGCATCATAAGAAAATTAAATTTAATTCAAATATAATATTTTACTAACATCAACTACTAATAGACTGACACGAACACGGGTTAATGGTGGAAATGGATCCCTTGACTTTGTGGTAGAGGGAAAGTTAGGATAACTTAATACATTTAAACCGTTAGATTTGTAATAAATGATCAGATTGTGATACATGTACATTTAAGTTAAAATATATATTGTACACGTGTCACAATCTGATTTATTTTTATACATTTAACAGTTGAGATGTATTAAGTTACTATAACTTTCTTTCCCCAAAGTCAGAGAATCCGGATCCGTTAATTGTTTGGTGTTATCTACTAGAAATTATTGAGTCATTGGAAATAATTTCGTGTAGTAATTGAACTTTTAATTTATCAAAAATAGTTAATAAAATTAAACTATACTAATCACTGTATCCGTGTGATGCACTGATTTATATATAAATAATAATATATGAAATAAGTGAGGTTCAATTTTAATTTTTAAATTTTTTATTATTGATTTTAAAAAATTAAAATAATAATTTTTAATGACTCAATTAAATGACATAATAACTATCATTCAAATTTTACATATAATTAGTTATAATTAAATTAAATATTTGGAAAATCTTACTCTATACAAATTTTTTAAGGATAATTTTTACAATTTTAATTTATTTTAAAATTTTTAATAATTATTATTTAATATAATTAATCTTTCATTACATCTCCTCTCTCTATATATATTTCAAAATATCAAAATTTTACACATATAAGGATATAATATCGTTTTACAATTTAATTAATAAAAATGCCCATATACATTAATATATGTATTTCTTTTTATAAAAAATATGCAATTGATAATTAATACCATTAAAATTTTGTATATTTTATTATACCTTTATAGTTTTTAATAGTTATATCAAATGAAAATTTATTTACGTAAATTTGATAGAAAAAATCATGAAATTTTTTTATTTATAATAATTTAAAAATGTACATAATTATTCGCATTAATTTAAAAGCATTCATAGTTAATAATTATTATAAATAATTATTTATTATGTCATGTTATTATAGCTTTTTGTATTAATAATTTTTTATATATATTTATGTGAATTTTATATAAAAAAAGTTGGTGGAAATTTTTGGAAAAGTAATATCTCAATACATAATATTAATTTTTAATAATTTTATTCCATCAAATATTAATAATTAGTATAAATATTTTACATGAAATTTAACGCAATAATTAATTTTAATCAAATTATGTGATTTTTTTCATTTATAATTACTTTAAAATTATAATAATTAAATACGTTAATTTTTTTATGACGTTGTTACAAAATTTTTTTAATATGTTATATAATAATAATAATATTATTATTATTATGTTGTATATTACATAATATGTTTTGAACCAATATTTTGTATTTTTTTTTGTAAAATTTTTTAATTAGTTGTATTTTAAAATTCTCTATAATATGAACTTTATAGAATTTATTTTCAATAATTAAATTACTTTTATTTTAAAATTACCCATAATATTATTTTCAATAAAAAAATTCCAACAAATATTAATAATTAGTATAAATAGTTTACATAAAATTTAACAAAATAATTGATTTTAATCAAATTATGTAATTTTTTATATTTACAATTACTTTTAAAACTGTAATAATATGTGTTTAAATTAATATTTTGTATTCTTGTAAAATTTTTAAATAATTTTTTATTTCTAAATTAATATTTTTTTATTCACAAATTAATTAATTGTATTATAAAATTATCCGTAATGTAAATTTTTTAGTGAAATATTTACAATTAATATAAATGTTTTACATTAATTTTTTAAAATATTTTTAAAGATATACTGTAATAGAATAATTTGATTTAAAAAATATATTTTAAGAAACTAATTTGATTAATGTTATAGATTTTGATTAATTTAATTTAATTATTTCTGTAGAAAATTTTAAAAATAGTTAATTTTTTTATTTGTTGACATGAATCTATAATTATTTTTATTCGATTTTACTCATTTATTTTGTCTAATTTATCATTTATATTATAAATTTATGTTAATTACTTTCAATAATTAAATTAGTTGAATTTTAAAATCATCCATAACATTATGTTCAATAAAAGGAATTTCGCCAAATATTAATAATTAGTATAAATATTTTACATGATGTTTAATACAGTAATTGATTTTAATCAAATTACGTTATTTGTTTTTTTATTTACGATTAAATTAAAACTTTAATAATTAATTAAATTAATCTTTTATGACGTTATTATAATTTTCTATATTAATGTGTTATCATATATATATATATATATATATATAATAATAATAATAAAGATTTTTATTTTTATTTTTTTAACGTAAATATTTGAAGGAAATATGTTTTAAATTAATATTTTTTTATAAAAAATTAAATTAGTTTTATTTTTAATCTAATATTTTGTATTTTATTCACAAATTAAATTACTTATATTATAAAATTTTCCATAATTAATGTGAATTTTTTAGTCAAATATTTACGATTAATATAAAAATTTTAATTTTTTTTAAAAATATACTGTGGGAGAATAATTTTATTTAAAAAATATATTTTAAAAATTAATTTGATTAATGTTATAGATTTTGATTAACTTATTTATTTATTTTATCCAACTTATCAGTTATATTGCAAATTTTTTATTAATTATAGAGATAAAACTTTAAACATTTTTATCAATATAGTATTAATTATTTTGAAATATTTATTTTCTTTTAATTATTTTTAATATTAGTTTCTTTTATAATAGAATATATATATATATATATATATATATAATGTAGAAGGAGATTTGGGGAAAGGAAGAATGAAGTTGCAAAACTTCTTGATTTTATATTATTAATAGATATCATTCATCTAAGACTATTATGTATTTGGTTGGAGTAAAATTGTACTCGAATATCTTATGGCAAAATTGATACATTCTTTGCATTAATAACATAATAATAATTAATAATAAAATAAAGAATTTATGAAGACTATAAACACAATATGCTAAACCATTCAATTATTTTTAATTCTCCATAGTCTTCTGTCTCTGAATAAGAAATGTAAATTAAAAAACAAACTCTTGCGAAGTAGTCAAGATTCAAAAGTACACACGTGGTGTGGCGAATGGTGAAAATCCTTGATGCTCAAGTCATTGAACCCATTCTATTCCCACAGAGAAACTCTGATCATATATTTTTTCACATTTTTTGAAGCGTCTATATTTTGAGATAATAAGGGGGAAAAATAAATTTAAACGTGGTCAAAAGAAAAAATGAGTTTTAGAATATTTAAAAATAAAAAGTAACATATGTGATATTACTGATTTTAAGAATTTTAAAAAAATAATGATATAATTAAAAAATGTGCTAAACCTTACTAAATAACATGATCAAAATCCATATCCATATTGTATAAAAGAAAAGACAAGGCAAGAAGCGAAATGCTCAGAGACAAAAGAATGAAAATGATTTTCCCATATTGAATGAATAAAGAGTGGGTTATATATATATAACCTAAAGGAGGAATAATAGAAATGATACACCTCAGCAAATTCTAGATCCTAGTATACAGTTATGAATAGAAATAAAATAGAGAAAAAACAGGGTACTACAGCTGTACAAAAGATAAGACTGTATAATAGGTTTAAAAAGAATGGTAATCTTAGGTTTAATTATGATTTTCTTCTTCTTTTATAGTAAGAAATTAAAGTTGACAAAAATGTCTTTGGAAGCAACATTGAAATCCATATAGTAAAAAATAAAAGTGGACAAAAATATTACACGAATTCTTTTATATTCTCATAGGTTACTGATATATAAAAAATGAATGGTCCGGCATGGACTAACAGAAGTCACTGTCACCCACACGGGAAATAATTACTAAGCGTTCTCCAATTTATTTTTATTTTTTATCTTGAGTGTTCTAATCTATAGTCTCCATTCTATGAATGTGAGATGTAAATCTTAAAAATAAATATACAAATAACACCCACTCACCTACCCATGCGAAGCAGTCAAAAGTGATCCTTGACCACATCGATATCTTTTATTCATATAATCTTTTTATGAATAAGAGAAAAGATAAAAAGAAAGAAGATACTTGTAAAATGAAATAAGTTATGCGATAAAAAAAATATGAATTATAAAATATTGTTTTAATTGACGTATAACTCTTGTAGAAATAACGTTTGTTCTCGTATAGTTGTAATAAACTTTTTTTTTTTTTTTTTCTGAATGTGAACGCACCCGAATGCAATGTTTTCTTGCGTCGCATGATTCCTCCCCATGATGAAGTAATTGACTTCTCCTCAAAATCTTAGGCAAAAGAAAAGGCATTGTTTGGCGACAACAACGGATTATATTATATAAAAGGGTTCATTCAAAGCAAACTTTTTATTTTTATTTTTCTATGCATAATAACATAATGATTTAGACGCTATTCGTGTCATATATGACTTCCATTTGAAACTTCAACCATGTCGTTTTTATGCTTCAATAAAGTCTAAGATATATAGATCCAGATACATACCCCCTGATATAAGTCCTTGTGTTGACTTCCTCTATGTTTTATTTGTCCTTATGATTTGATGCCAAAATTAATACTTTCTGAGCCATAAATGCACATGTTTATACTTTGACTAATCTTCCAAGTAATAATCTTGTGAAAGAAAAATTGTCTAACCAACACTTTACCACTTGTCTTTTTTATTTTTCCACAGTACGTTAAAGAAAGATGGCTAGAATTTTGTCCTACTAGCAAAACTGTTAGATGGCGCGTAAAGTGGTGTAGAGATTTCTCTCCAATAA